CTTTTTCGATAAGAACAAAAAAAAAAAAAAAGAAATAAACGACACGTACGTCGTCTTCTGATCGACTTACCTTTTGGGGGTAGTTGTGGAGGAATTTCATGACTTGATAGTGTAAAATCCACCATTTCCTTTCCATCCTTCTCAACTTTCACGTAACGAGAGAGTGGGAGAGACATGCATATCGAGATAAGTAGTAGTAAGAGATGATAACACTTACATGCACATCTTCGATCACGTGACAGTAGCAGTCGAAATTTCTACCAACTACTTAATAACACCTTTTGCGTGTTGTGTTTCGTATTACACGATTATATATAACGTGATTATTAACAATTACATATTTTTTTTTTATCTATATATGTGTATATGTTTATACATTGGGGGGTGTGTATATAAAACGAAAAGAAAATTTGATTCATATATGTTTGATAATGTTACATGTACATGTACATGTATGATATAGAAAAAAAAAAAAAATAAAAGAAATTATGTAATTAATAATAATTAAAATTACAGAGAGAATATGAGAAGGTTGCAATATCAAAAATGAAATATTTTATTTAAAAATTTATTTTAAGAATATCCTAAAGAAATATATATATATATATATATGTGTACGTATGAGTTGCATGATGACAAAGGGTTAATGCATTAATTATTCTATAAAATACAAATTAGGATAATTTATACCTTTGTTCTTTCTGCAGGTGTGTGCCATTGTGGATTTATAAAAGTTTAATGCATTAAATGTTTTAATAAAAATATAAATTAGTGGGGTAATATAATTAGTCTATATATATATAAATATTAATTCTGTTTTAATTGTTACTTTGTTTTTCATTTAATTTTTTTATTTACACGCGTGTGGTTCGTAAAATTGTGGAGATAATAATGCATTGAATATTTTATATGAAAAATATTTTGTTGTTTTATTTTTATCAAAATTAATCATGCATTTTAATAAGGGTTAGTTAATCGATGAAAAAAAAAAAACAAAACAATTTCGTAACGAAACTAACACTTCTCTCGTGATAAAAATACATAAATAATTAAATGAATAAATCATTTGAACGTCACAATGAAAAAAAAAAAAAAGAAAGAAAAAACATTAATCGTCCGAATTATTCTTCATTATATTTCAACGTATTTTATTAATTAATCCAAATGTGTTTCTCTGACACACATCGTGAACATTTCATTTTAAATCAAAATAATTTTCAAACGTCGACGGTGTATTCACCGATCGCGAAAATCTTTTCTAATTAAACAGGTTCTAATTAAACGTTATGACGTTTGTTATTTCTTTCTTGTTTAATCAATAATTTCGAAAAAGAGGTGGATAGAAAATGTGAAGAAATAAAAAGTGAAAAGAAAATTGAAAAAAAAAAAAAAGAAATTAAAACTAAAAATCTCGTTTAACTTTTGCATCAAAGTATGTAAAAATAATATTGAAATAAATCACATGTGAAGGAAGAATAAAAAAAGAGATTAAAAAAAGATGCAGTGTATATACAATACATTCATAATTACACACTCATGCATACACATATACATATATATGGATGTAATTCATGTAAAAAAACTATTGTTATATAAGTAGAGTGTATGAGAATATTAAAATAATTGTTAATAATACGAAAGTAATGTGTTTTGTTACCTAAGAACACCTAGTATACGATCAGAGTATCGTCCGCAGCGGAATTTACCTTGAGACTGGTACGTTGTCCTCTGTTAAAATACTTTTAGTATATGTTGTCTTACTACTCCTTACACTATTCCCCATCCCACTTAAAGGTGGGTTTAAAAGAGGACGTTACTCCGAACATATACACAGTACTTTTAAACATCAATACACGTTCCTTTCGTATTATAATACACTCTACTTATATTATAACATAATTTAATTATCGCAGTGATAAGATAATTGTATAAAAATGCGAAAAATGATAAAATGATAACGTTATAATGTTTAATTCATTAATTAAGAATATTACTTTTTGTTACACACATGCGTAACGTTCGAAAAGTCATATAAACTGACATAGTATTGAATAAAGGAACTTTCACATGTAACAACGTGTCAGTCTGAAGATGAATTTTTAAACAGGACGGTAATACTGACATATATTTCGTGCTTTTAAACATCAATACACATTCCCATCGATTAATTAACTATTATTTTAATAATCTAATGCACTCTACTTCTATATAACAGATCAGAAATATAAAATATAAAAATAACAACAACAAATTAGAATATCGATTCGCGTAATTTGGAATAAAAAATAAAAAATAGAAGCTTACGATATACAATTGCATTTATATATTATATGTAATATGTAAAATTACGTACGTACGTACGTACGTATGTATATATATACATATATATGTATGTATGTATGTATGTAAAATGTGTTAAAAATACAACAAAAATCTACGACGTGCACAAAATGTTTGATTAATCCTATCATCCTTTTTAACAAAATATATCTAAAAAAAAAAAAAAAAAACGATGATAAGGATGAAGGTAAAAATTAAAATTAAAATTAAAATTAAAGTAAAAAAAAAAAAAGAATAAAAATTATAATTAAACAACATTTCCCATACCTTTTTTGCATCATTGTTGTTGTCAGCCGCATGATGAGGCTGAGGACTCATAGCAGCACCATTGCTGACTGCACCGCTTTGCGACAGAAGCTCGTCGCTACCCCTCTGAAACAAACAATTGAAAGATAATGAGACCCCCTCTCTCGTTAGTTTCAACGTCATAGTCATCGTCTTCGTCGTCATAGTCATCGTCATAGTCATAGTCATAGTTATAGTTATAGTCATAGTCATAGTCATAGTCGTGTTGTTGGTCAACGTAGTCCGTTGTCCATGTTATCTCAACGAAGTTAAATTTTCCAATTAATTTTGATTAGAAAAAATAATAATTAAAACATAATTATATAATAATAATAATAATAATAATAATAATAATAATAATAATAATAATAATAATAAATAATGTATATAAAAAATAATATTATTCAAGAAATTATTTCAATTTATTATACGAGTACGAAAAAAAGAAAAGAAAAGAAAAGAAAAGTAAAGGATAAGAAAAAGAAAAAAATTGCATAAGAGAGAGAGATCTATCTTTCTTTATTCAATTTTGTTAAAAGTTTGTGTGATAGTGTTTTATACGTATATGTATGTGTGTGTGTGTGTGTGTGTGTGTGAGAGAGAGAGAGAGAGAGAGAGAGAATAAGAGAGTAAACTAATCGTTTATTAGAAGATATCAGCCGTGAAATCCGATGCTTTAAGGAAAAGTAAAAAAAAAGAGAGCTTTTTTGCAATTCGATACGCGAATCATGACGAAGTACCACCACCTCCTACTACTACTCTTTTAAAACGAGGACTATTTAAAAGGAGATGAAAAGAGGGATTAGAAAATCTCTCTCCTTTCGTTGATTCCTTTCGAAGTTTCATCTTCCGAGTGCGACTTCACTCGACGGTAAGAAGAAGAAGAAAAAATAGAAAGAAAGAGAGAGAGAGAGATAGGGTAAGTAAAGTAAGGGGTAAGAGGTAAAGGGGTAGTAGTAGTAATTGTAGGAGTAAAAAAAAAAAAAAAAGGAAGAAGATTCTTCAAAGAAACGAAACGAAACGAAAAGGAAAGGAAACGAAAGAGGTGACACCCGGAAAAAAGGGGACTCTTCTTAGAGTAGAAGATGCTTTTAATCCGAGTATAAACTTATGTTGTAAACTATTCGAAAAAGAGATAGAAGATAAAAGAAAAAAAAAAAAAATAACATAGCTAAAGCTCGTGATTATTCAACAGAAAAAAAGAGAGATTCCTGAACAAGAAGGAATAGAAGAAGAAGAAGAAGAAGAATAAGAAGAACATTTCTTCTCAATGAGATGTTTCCAACATAAATCTTCTTCGTTTATATTTTCTTGTTAAATTTCGTCGAAATTTTCACGAATGAGAGAACTAGAAATGAAAGAATACAAAAAAGAAAAAAAAAAAAGAAAAAAAAGAAGGAAAGTTTCAAATATTTCAGATTGAATTTACATTTGCATTTCTATAACGAAGATAAAAATGACGATAATTATTTTGAAAGGATTTTTTATAATGAAAAATATATTTGAAATAAATTATAAGATAAATTATTAATAGTTTAATTTGATATAGATATATTTTTTCTATTTCTGCTTCAATAATTATTTAAAAAAATAATAATATTAATAATGTTACACGAATTTGATCATAAATTTCTTTCATCAATAATCCATCATTATAGTTAATAATGTAATTAATATTTCAAAAATATTTAATTAATTACAAGACGAGAATAAAATTCAAAAGAAATTTCTTAGTTAGTAGTAAAAAAATAAACAAAAGGTAACTAAAGAATGTGAGTAAAGTTTAAAAAGAGTTTAATAAACATCCGATAATTTCTTAACCCCATTCCTGACACGAAGATCTTCTTCTTCTTCTTATTCTTCTTCGAAATATTAAATGAAGCAGGAAAAATAAAAAAGATAATTCAATAAAGAAAAATAAAGATGAGTAAGGGATGGTAAAATAAAAACAAGTATTATAACAGGTATTGCAGTATAATAGTAAGAAGAACTAAAAAGCGTTCGCATTATTTATCCCAGTGGTCTATGAGGGTGGTCCCTTAGATAACCCCTTCCCCCTATACCCCTTTACAGATACCGRTGGTGGTGGTGGTGGTGCTTAGTCAGTATGAAATAATAAATTTATCGTTTAGTATAAAATAGAAGAGAAAACGGAGTAGGTAACGGCAACAACAAAAACAACGGGTGTAACAGGGGGGGTGAGGGGTGAGGGGTGGTGGTGGTGGTGGTAAAACGGGACGTTTAAATTATTTCTGATTACGTTCTAACTACGTTCAACCTTAAACTACCGTAATCGCGTCGAGTTTAAATAATAAACAATTTCACTGAATACAATAACGAGGTGAAAGAGAAAGAGAAAGAAAGAACTAGAAGAAGTGGCAAATGGGAAAGAGGGGGGGGGGAATGGGAAGAGAGAAAGGTAGAGGTAGAGATAGGGGGTAGGAATTAAGGGTAGGAGTAAGGGGTAAAGGCAAAAGGGCTTCATTAATAACGAACGAATGAATTATGGCGTATTGCGCGAGAATGTTCTGTTAAATTTCAATATATGTACATATGGTACTATATATATATATAGTGTGTAACACACCAAGCAAGCGAATTATGCGTTTTCCAATAAATTTCAAATAGGTCCGGTCGTGAATAATAATCGATAAATCAGAACGATGGTGTATTAGTTATGGTGATGGGATTTAAACACATTCAGGAAGAAAATGTAATTTAAAATATAAAAATATAAATTAAATGAAAATTTATTATTTTGAAAAAAAAAAAAAAATAAATCGAATGAGAAAAACATATAGCTTTCGTGCTAAAGAAACCCCATGGAATCGTCTAGCAGAACTTAAAAGGAATCCTCAAACTGGCCGTAAAACGTCTATGGGGCTATTGCTATGGTGATAGTTAAACTAGATATATATAAGAGGAACTAGTTTAAATTATATTATAATATAATATATAAATATAAAAAAAAGAAACTGAGTTGGAAAGAGAGAGAAAGAAAGGGGAGTAAAATGATCGAAGTAATAGAAAAATAATAAATCGTTGTAATAGATAGAAAAATGCAAGCTTTCGTTTAACTTTCTTTCATACTTTCTTTTATCTAGTTTTTAGTTGTTTTTTTTTCTTTTCTTATATATTTTTTTACTTTCTCTATTTTTCGTGGTAATGCGATGAACGTTATCGTCGACGTATTACTACGAAAAAAAAAGAGAATAGAAGAAAGATGATAAAAGAAATGAGAAAGAAAAAGATAGAAAAGGATAAAAAGAATAAAATAGAAAAAGAAAGAAAGAAAGTAAGAAAGAAAGAAAGAAAGGGGGTGGTGAGAGGGAGAAAGGACTAGGGGGTTGGTTGGATTTACTTCCGTCTCGAATATTTCTTGCTTAAAGTCTCGACTCCTAGTACAGTCCATTAGGTATAAGAGAGACTCGTTCAAAGATCGAGAAAGAAAAAGAAAGAAAAAAAGAAAGTAAGAAAGAAAGAGAGAGAAAGAGAGAGAGAGAGAGAGAGAGAGAGAGGAAGAATCGCGGATATATTCAAGGATAAAGCAAGAAGAAAACTAGCAGATGGTCTTTGAGTCTTGTAATACTTGATCGTACTTAGGTTTAAGTAGAAAGAGGAGATAGGACGAAGGACGAAAGAAGATAAGGGATGAGATGATACAACAACCCCTAAGAAAGAAGAAGAAGAAGAAGAAGATATGAAAAAAAGAAAAAAAAAACGTATTTTCTTTCTTTCTATCTTTTTATCTACTCGTATCTATCTATCTATCTATCTATATCTATCCTTCTCTTGCACTTGTAATGTCAGACAGACTTCGTAGAAAAGCTTCTTGTATTATTTATTTTTCACGAATTTATGGATTATGGACGCGATCCTTTCCTTCTTCTATCCTATCCTAACCCTCCAGCCCCTCCTCTTACTCCCACTTCGATCCTCAAGCCCTATTTATCCACCCTTCTTGCCCTCCTCCCTTTTTCTCGTTGCTTTCTTTCTTTCTTTCTTTCTTTCTCGACGAAGCGAACGAATTTTTCTCGACCAAAGGAAAAAACGTCATTTCGTTTTACTTTCTTTTGCATTTTTTTCTTTTTTTTTTTTTTTTGACGAACTATTAAAGCAATGGAAGTAAAGAGTATTAGAGAAAAAGAGAGAGAGAGAGAGAGGGTAGAAAAAGGTTGGGGAAAGGGAAAGGGAAAAGAAAGCTCGACGAATGTTCCTTGAAATAAAAAAAAATAATAAAAAAAAAAATAAAAAAATTCTCCTTCTATCCCTCGGGAAATAATCCTCTCTCTCTCTCTCTCCTATTTTTCTTTTTTTATTTTTTATTTCACTCAACCACAAACGGACTAACTTAGTTACAGAAAGAAGAAGAAGAAGAAGAAGAATAAGTATGTTGGTTCGTCCAACCGGTATTGCGTTCACTATGGTGTCTCAAGATATACACTGTGTGTGTGTGTGTGTGTGTGTGTGTGTGTATTCTTTTCTCCTCGATAAACTATGCCGTCTAATGTTTACTAATGAAAGCAACGAACAAAAGGACTCATCAAAGAATAATGCAGAAGTAAAGGAGGAGGAAGAAGAAGAGGAGGAGGAAGAAGAAGAAGATGCTCCTATAAGTTAATTTTTTCACTGCTTATTTATCTTTCCTTTCTTTTTTTATTTTATATTTTTTTCTTTATTTCTTTTTTTATTCATTTTTCTTCCAATGCAATTTTTTATTTTTTATTTTTTATTTTTTATTTTATCATAATTATTTTCTTTTCTTTAATGTTACGTTATTAAATGTAAAACACGACAGATATTATTTTATTTCAATGATTAGTTTGGATTTTTTATTTATTTTTCTTTCAATGGAATTTTCCTTTTTCATTTTGTATATTTTATCACAATTATTTTCTTCTTTTTTTAAAGTTACGTTAAAAATCCCTAAAAAAAAAAAAAAGCCCTAATCTTTCTTTTCTCTTTATTCAATCCTAAGATAGGATTAGAAATCTTGAAAAAGGGACAGTGAAAAGATGATGATCCCTATCTTCGTTTTTTTTTTTTTTTTTTT